TGATGAAACAGCTGTTTTCTAGAAGATAAGTTGTTCCCTCTCATAGTCTACTTTACCTTTGTTTTACTTTCTGTGCAGGTATATATTTCCAAACAAAGCAGTGCTCAACAGTTGGTGCTTGCTTTGTAGCACCCCAGCTTAGTATTCAGTTATTAAAGTATCTAAGCAAACTTAAGATCTGTTAAGAACTTGGTTCTCTGTCCCAAGTGTAGACAAGCCAAGAAAATTGTAATTCAAAAGCTCTAATATGTCTGAACTGCCATTCCTTGCCCAGTGCTGTCTGATCTGGCTTAGTAATCAGGAAAAGCAAGTGCTGGGGAAATTGAAGGCATCAATCAACACTGCAAAAAGGAAGTCTACAGATATGGCTGCTGCCTGAGATAATACTATGCATGTTTCTGAAAGACTAGCCTGTTTGTAATAAACCATAGGTTGCTGCTTGGAGGAACAGTACATAAAGAAAGCTGGGAAGAATTTAGCATCACTTCTTGGCTTCAGACAATTTCAGTTTTCTTTATGAGGAAGCAAGTGGAAAGCAGAGCATGGGCCAGGTAATAAACAATATAGTGTTGGGTGAAAAGAAGGGTGTTGTTGCAAAGAAGAGGGGATCGACTTATTCTCTAGGGTACCTGAGAGTAGGACAAGAAGTAAGGGTGGAAGCTTGTCAGAGAAAGACACAGCCTAGACATAAGGAGAAATTTTCTAACAGCAAGAGCAATTAATCAGTGGAATAGCTTGCCTCTTGGGATTGTGTGTGTTCCATCACTGGAGGTTTTCAAAAATAGACTGGACAACCATTTGACTGAGTTGATGTAAGTCTCATTCCCCGAGCAGGGGATTGGACTACAAGATCTTCAAGATCCTTTCCAGCACTATGGTCCTAAAATCTTACTGAAGGCAGTAGGACAAAGAGGCGTTTATGTCTTTTGTAGCAAGCGAGAGGTGTGTCCCAGCCTTGAACTAATCATCTCACCTCCTGTCTTCCTGGAGCTGCAGAAAAGGGACCTTTCCTGGCCTGCACTAAAAGCCAGCCTTTGAACTCTGCAATCAGTGCTTGGATACATGTTTTGGGTGTGTGTAGTTTTAAAATTCTTTTGTAAGCCCTGGTTCAGCCCCTCAAAAGGTAACTCCTGATCAAACTCTTATCACTCACCTAAAGGAGTTAAAGCAAAAAACAAAACCTCCCTAGAAGTAATTTAGCTCTGGGGAAAATTGTGCCTGCCTATGGGGGTCTCAGAGAGGAAATAAGACAGAAAGGAGCCACCTTGTCTTGGGTACCTCTCTACCCCAAGACAAAAAATATCCCAGCTTTCAAATCAACAAGGATGACTGTGAGAACCTGGTGCCATCACTAGGCAGAGAAAAGCAGACATTTAAAGCTGAAAATAAGTGATGTCCATAGAGGAAAATATACTTTGAACATTTTTATCTACTTTTCATATATTGACAAAAGAGTCTATTGGAAGGGTCTTCAAAAATTCAAGAAGGTAGTTACCATAATAGGAAGCCCAGCCATTTACCAGGCAGGGCTGCAACATTGGGTCAGAAGCAAACACAGGCATTTCCTCAGTTCAGAATCATGAAAACAACACTGCATCATTGTAGCATTAAACCAAGGGAAAGGGATGTGTCTTATGCTACAATATCCAATGCTGTTTCCATCAGACCAGCTAGTTAGATCTCCACTTATGGATCCACTGGCTATAAAAACAGTACACCATTTCTGTCTTTTCCTTTCTTCAAATGAATTATGTTCTAGCTGCCCATTAATATCACTTTACAGATTTGCATTTTGTTTCCTCTCTTCTTTTTTTTTCTAATCCCTTTCCTTTGGGAGACCTGTCTAAACTGAAAACTATCCAATTACAAATCATTGTAGGATAACTTTCAATGTCTTTTAAACAAATAATAGCATGCCATTGTACAAGGACAGCATGATGAAAGTCTTTTCAAGCATGAGTTGTGTACTTTGCAAATACTTTTACATCTCTAAGTGCAAGAAACATGGTTAATGGGTAATGGAAAGATCCATGGCATTTTAAAAATCAAGTCAGATACATTTGGCTTTCTACTTCAGTTCCAGATGCTGGGAATTATAATTTGTGTTATGGTTAATGTGCTATAAAATTTCTCAGATAGCAGCACATAGCCAACAATGGCTGATCTTGGACAAAGAAGCTTAGGAAAGTGGAGCTGGTTTATACTTGCAAAGGAAACAGTAGACAACCAAGAAATCCCATGGTTATTGACTAAACTGAGAAATTAAACAAAATATTTCAGAAAAAGAATAAGAATGCCCTTCTGCCAACATGTTTCTACATTTATCAGGAATCAAGTTCAACTCAAGGGAGGCCTGATCTCTAATTTGTAAATAAAATTTGTCATCTCTTATCCTTTGTCCCATGAAGTGGCAAATATAGTCATTTGCTTATCTGGACTAATTTAGCAGATCAGAGTAGTCAAGAGTCACATTTGCAATTATGGTTTTCTATGCTACTTATTTAAGTTAAAATCACAATATTGCATGACTACTCACTAAAGGTAACAGGTATATAAATAGATCATATAACTCGTATAAAGGATCTTAGTAAGAGATGAATGGGCTTGCTTTGAAATGTTTCTTTTATGTTGATTGGTTACAGAATTGATATGTTAGGGTACATGCCCGTCTTCGAAAGTGTGAAGTGGGCTTTCTTAGAGGAAGATGGTTGGAATCACTGGAGTTTCTTTTTAACTATCCCCCAGTTTACTTTGTTGTTTGTTTGTTGTTCCATCTTTTGCATCCCATCTGTGCTGTTGTCACAGAGGGCAGATCCTGTTTTTTCCTTCAGTAAAGGGGTCTGTAGAAAGCTATAAAAATCAAGATGGTGTTCACAAGACACATAAAAAGGGGTGGCAGTTTGCATGGCTGTACAGAGCATCTTGACTTTTTTTGAACCAACTCTATGGATGTTTCTATATCCAATCTTTTGATATATTTAAAGGAATTTATTTTTTCCTTTTTAGTCATTTATTTTTATTTTGTAAGAGAGAAATGTTTGGCTGTCCTTAAAACCAAGAACAAAAAGAGTTAATTTAGGAGTGTCACAAATCTAGGAATAATCACTTCATTCAATCAAAATCCAGCCATTCTTTCATAGTGAAAGAAAATTATAACCAGGTACTAAGGGTTCAAGATGCTTACTTTCTTCAACCCCTTCTCTTCTGTGAAAAGAGATATAGGGATATCCTCCCATAACCCTGTCTCCAGGCTTCCCCTTTGCTTGATGAACTGAGTGCTTGTAATCCTTATTCACGAGCTGTAGGGGTAGCTCAAAGAAACAGCACAGATTGGCATGCCAGGCTAGACAAAGGGTGTAAGAGGGAGGCAAATGGAATGCTTGGAATCTGCTCCAAACAGATAACTCATTTCCTCCTATTTCTGAGCTGAGCTACAAGAGATGGAGCCTTCCTTGTGAGCTTGTAGAGCAGCTAGAAAATTGGAAGAAGCCTGAGATTAGTTCAGATGGAGGCAAGGCTCTGAGAAGGAGAAAAGCAAGCAGATTTTCCCAATCTCAGCTTGAAGCATCTATGCTGACCAAGGAGCTGCTGAGTATCAGCAGCAGCCCTTGGAACTCCATAATTTAAACCTGTTGATTTCTTACGTGTTTTACTTCCCTCAATCTTAGATCCGTCTACAAACTGAAAAGTGACTTAAAATTAAAATGGCAGCTCCATCTAACCCAATCACATTGAGTGTTCTTGTGCTAAAAGCTGCTTTCAGTGTGCAGATTAGGGAGTGGGGGTGGCATTAGCTTCCTCGTTTCACCAGGATGTATCTGTACTAGACTGTAAACTTAGAAACAGATTACTGATTTTAACAGTGTTCATGATACAAAAAACTACTTAATTTATTGAATCTGCAGTGCTGTTTGGGATAATAATTCAGCTGGGAAATTCAAAATGTTAGTTTTGCCAATACAGTAAATATCAGTACTAGATGTCAGATGTTCTCTAAGATCTGAAATATCTAAATATTAGAGTAGATACGTAGAAAAAAATTCCAGGTGAAGAACTATATTTACTATTTTTGCTGCAACATAAATTTAGGATCTTACAAAATAACCAGAGATTCATTATGGATCTTGCCTATAAATATATTGAGAAAGTACTAGATTGGGGAAAGCTAGTTTATGTCATATAAGTAGGTATATCTTTCAGTTGTGAATCTGTAGATGAAAAAGAAATGGTTTTTTTCTTGTTTAATGTTAACATATTCCAGAGACATGAGTAAATTTATAATTATCAAATAGAGATAGTGGCAATCTGATGACTTCCACATGTTTGAACTTCAACATGGCCAATAGCAAAGGGATGCGGGATGTGTAGTGCAAGATACTTGAAGTGGGTCAGGAGGTTTACTCTTGATTTAAAATATATATACATTATTATGTATATGGAACAGGAAAGTGGAACATAGCAAATGAATCAGCTTTATTTTTCCAACATCACATAATGATTTCACAATTATTGGAGACTTAAAACTTTCCAAGAACAAATTATTTTTTTCAAAGACTCCATTTACACAGCATATTTAACCCAAATACTGAATTAATCCAATTTCTGTATTCATAGAATATATTTACCACCAACAAAACAGGCTGGATTTGTATGATGTCTAAAAGAAAACATAGCTGACAAAAAATAATTAACTATACTTCATGTGTTCTGTAAATGAAGTTGCTAAATCTTTTACTAACTTATTGAAGTGTATTGTGTGAACAGAGCCAAAGTTAGCACAGCTCTTTGAAGGTTTATGAAGAAATCCAATTTAATTCAATGGAGCTATAATGCCATATAAGATGCTTCTACATTGTAAAACACTGAGACACTGAGAATCTCTTAAGATATTCCTAGATGAAAAGCCAAAGGATGTAAGACATGAGAAAAAAGGTGTTTTTTTGGGGGGGAGGGGGGGTTGTTCAGATTTCTTTTATGATAATTTCTATTTTGTTTCACAGGCCAACAAAAACACCATCAAAATGTCCAGCAAGCGAGCCAAGGCAAAGACCACCAAGAAGCGCCCTCAGCGTGCCACCTCCAACGTCTTTGCCATGTTCGACCAATCCCAGATCCAAGAGTTCAAGGAGGCTTTTAATATGATTGACCAAAACCGTGATGGATTCATTGACAAAGAGGATCTACATGACATGCTGGCTTCTCTAGGTAAGAAAATCCAGCGCCATATAATGCACTGAGTAGAATCAATAAGAGAAGGCTGTGATCTTGTAGACATTGTCCAACAACATCTCCTAATAGTCCAAATTAATATGGTGACTGAAAGGGTTAATAGGAGATGTAGTTCAGAAACATTTGAAAGGCTACGTAGGTATCAGGATTTCTTTAATTTTAATCTAATCTTAACTTTGAACTGCAGAAATATCCTTAGCTCTGAAACCTGATCTCTGAATATCTTGATATCTGAATATCTTGATATCTGAATATCCTGATTTCTGAAACCTCATTTGAACATATAGTTGAACGAGGAGGTAAAGGATTCAAGGCAAGAGAAGTAATAATTTTTAATGCTGCCTTATATTAAGAATCCCGTGCAAGTAGAAAAACAACACAGTAAGCAAAAGATAGGACCAATCTCAGCTAGGCAGAAAACTTAAATAGGATTAGGATCTGGTTGGTTATTTGGATGGGATAGCGTTAGACAGAACCAGTGCTCTAGGCCAGACCAGAGGTAGGCAACCTTGGCTCTTTTATGACTTGTGACTTCAACTCCCAGAATTCCTGACTCATCATGGCTGGTTCAGGAATTCTGGGTATTGCTAGACCATAAGACTAAATACATGTCCCAGAAGAAGGTGATAGCAAACCGCTTTTGAAACTCCGTCAAGAAAACTGCATGCAGTATCAGGTATCAAGTCTCAGGGTCATGTGATCACCATTGGGAACTTTCCCAGCTGGCTTCCAACAAGCTAACTCAATGGGGGAAGTTGCATTTGCTTAACAACCATGTGATTTCCTTAACAACTGCAGTGATTCGTTTAACAGCCATGGCAAAAAAGGCTGTAGAAGTTTGTAAAATTTACACAAAAAAGTCACAAAAGTGGTTGCAACTCAACTGCCTAGTTTAGTGGTTAGCAATGAAAATTCTGGTCCCAGTTTTGGGCATAAGTCGAAGACTACCTGTGAGTAGGTGAATTTTAATTGTCCAAAATGCTACACCTTTCTGTAAAAAGAAGCTGAGTGAGGCAATAGCACAGATATGCCCAACAAAGTTGCAGTATGCAGAGTTAACTAAGGTAATTTATGAGAAACATAATTAAATATTTTTTTTTCATTACTTCAAAAGAAACTGAAAGCCAAACTATAATAAATGGCCTGTGGTTACTCAGAGAACTTCGTGGCTGAATGAACTCTTAAATTTGGTCTCCTCAAGTCTAGTCTAACACTCTAACACATTTGCTCTGGCAAATTTTCTTATTATTGTGTTCTAAATGCTATGCTTCTCCAGACTGAAGAGCTGAAAGAACTGAGCTCAGAGTTTGTGAATGCTGTTCTCTAAACGACAATGTCCAACACAAGGCTTCCTAGACTCACAATTAGAAGTTCTGCCATTAAGTTGGAATCTGTAGAACAGTTTTCTTTCTCAACTGACTCCTTGCAAGTGGGATACCATTTACCTTGGGCCTAACGCACTAGAAAATTCAACACAGAACAGCATACACAGAGAGAGGGTACAAAATGGGGCATCACTCCTTCCAGCAAGTCATTGTCCTATTTCCTGTGACCTTAACCATTGAAATAAGAAAGGTCCGGTCCCTCCATGCCAAAGAGTTGCTTGCCTCTGGTATAAAAAGCTCCATAGAAATGTCCTGCAAATTTAGCATTAAAAGTCATCATATAGCTAGCAATTCTTAGGCATTTGATATTATCATTTTTTCATTCAAATAGGTATAAGTACATTATCGATAAACTTATGATCAGGAAGGCCAATCAAGACATCTTAATATTTTAATTGATAAATTAAATAAGCTATACATTTAGCAGCACTAAATGGCATGCAGTTCTGCAAAAATAGAGACGAACAGTAGGAGATAGCAAAGTATATTAATTATATACTACTATTTAATGTTTGTGCATATGTTGGCCCTAAACACTTTAGAGCACTAAATGTTCTAGTAAGAATATTTCCTCTGTCTCCTCTCCTCTACTATACTGTACTAAAATAAGGATAGATCCAGGGACTCCTGAAGGGGAGTCAGAAAATCAACTCTGTAGTCAAGGTTCACATCCTTTGATATGCTTTGCAAGTGCAATGCATATTAAAAAAAGGCGGGCCATCTTGACCTTCCTTTTAATATCCACTGTGGTCATGTGAGAGGTCCCATCAAAGATTATACTGTGGAAGTCATAGTGTGTCCCTCTGGCTGCTGTCTTCCCCAGCTTGCTCCCAATATGATGCCTTCCAGAATTACTAGATGCAACATTACTACTTCCAACTTTACTACTATTACTATTACATCCATCACTGTGGCCATCCTGCTGAATATGATGGAGGGAGAAAGTCAGTTCTTCTACATTGAGGATTATGCTTCATATACTTGAATAAGCTTTTGCTGCCTGGAGAATTCTGGAAGCTGAAGTCTACACATCTTAAAGTTGCACTGGATCAGATGCTGATATTTTTGAGACTTCTGAAGAATGCATGATCTCCCCACCATAGACATTTCAGTTTCAGTTTCAGACGGCATTCTTTCTTAAGTGCCAGACATGAACTGTTTACTTTTAGACTGGGTTCACACATTACAGCAAGGTTTCTTTAATATAGTATTCTGAACCATATATCAACGTTTACAAATTATAATATTGGCACTTACATAACAAATTACTGCAACATCAGACCAAAGAAGTTAATACAGTTCTGATGTAGAACCTAGTCAGAATCTTTTTCTGAAAACCAATGCCAAATGCTGATGTTTTCCAATTAATTACAGTTCGTCCTTGACCGATCACTTAGGTATAAATTGCTGTGCTAAATCAGTTATAATTTGGTTCAGCTTCTTTCTTACAGTAGTCAGCCACATGCTCTTACAAAGCATTCTCCAAAGAGAAATACCCGAGTGTCCTATAATTAAGAAATACTACCCCTAATAATGGAGTTGTACTTAACTTCATAGATCTATTGTCTATTCTTCATCATCTAGCTTTTTCTTATAGACAGTTTTTATGCAATTATCTACAACTGTCTACTCAAAACTGGGCCGATGATGAAATCCAAATCATATAGTTTACCTATATTCTAGATACTTTGGCAGTGTACATACAACCAATAGTGGGATTCAGCCAGTTCACACCAGTTCGGCAGAACCAGTAGCTAATTTTTTGTTGCCCAGTCCCAGAATGGCATCCACACAGAGAACTGGTTGTTCACATATTTGAATCCCACTACTGCATACAACACACTAACAAAAGAATGGCTTATTGAATCAATTCAGCTACCTGAGTTCACACAACCCATTGAACCAGAAAACACATTAAGTTTGCTGAACAACTCTTGAGGTACAATTTGCCAACTACATTACAGTTTGCTGTGTTGTTGGAATCCAGAGTTGTTGAACGGTTCCCAAGGTGCTAGAAAATTCACCATGAAGCCGCTAAAAAACTTTAAAAAAAAATAAAGCAAGAAAACAATGACTGTGGAGGATGGAATTAACCAGAAGGGAATCAGGAAGGTGTTAAAATGTAGACGAGGATGAAAAGCACCTTTACAGATGGCCCCTAGAGGGCAGTCAGCTGTGAAAGTAAAAATGGTATTTTGATTTCTTTAATAATGAACCAAATTTGAAGGAGTGTTGTAATTGGGACCCTGAAGGCTCCAGTCCATGCACATAGTAGCAAATTGGGATTTCCTCTCCAGTTATACCCACTGGGCAATATTTCTTCCCCAGTATATTTTTCCCCATTGCAACAGCCATTCCGCCTCTGTTTCCTTGTATTTTTAGTAATCCATCTCCCAAGCCCCTCCCCTAGCACTGGTCTGGTGTTACAGGGGAAGCTCCTCAGAGGAGGAGCAAAGAGTCTACTGTAATCTCTTTTCACCGGGACATTTTATTACCCTAACTCAGTGTTTCCCAAACTTGACAATTTTAAGGCATGTGGACTTCAACTCCCAGAATTCCACAGCCAGCTCATATTGTGTAGATTCAGATCTTTGTTGTGGATCCCCTATAGATTGGCACTAACACGGCTGCAATACCACCAGGCCACCTGTACAGCTATCACACTATACAGTTTTTTGTTGTTGTTGTTCTTCACTTTCCATTATCTAATTTATGAAGAATTATGTTATCCAAACAAAACAGATCCCAATTAGATTCAATTTTAGGGTCCAATTCTGTGCAAACTTACTAAAAATAATTCCTTAGTGACACTTATTTTTGAACAGACGTATGTAAACACAAACCAGGATCTTCTATTGGAGGGCAGGTTAAAAAAGTCAAGATGGAAGTTGTGATTGTGCAATCAAAGCCCAATGCCCTTTTATCTGTGTTGCATGGAATACACTAAAAAGAGGTGAGGCTTTGACTGTGTGGCCATATCAATATTTTGAATTTTAAAATGTCCCCTTCAGGTCCCTCTAGTACAGATTTCTGTTTCTGTATACCGAAAATGGACACCACTCTGGAGCTGGATAACACAATAAATTTAACAATTTGGTAAAAAATATAACCAATTGTGGAACATGGGTAAGATGGCAGAACATGTTCCTTTAATTGGCTTACCATGCTATGTGAATACAACCATAACATCATAATTTGTTCAACTGACTTCCTTAGAAGATTCTAGGAATCTTCTACTGACTTATCTGAAGGTAAGATCTTAGATCTATCAGGTTACATTTAATAATGTTTAAGATTTTGCTGATAGTCCGAGTCCATCTTAATGCTGGTTTATTTCTACTAAAACATAGCTCTTTTAATTGTTGATATACCACAACTGGCTAATGTCATGCAATATGCTAAGCCAGGATACACAAGGATTGCATGGCCTTTGAATCATATGCTGGGGGAACAGAGCCCAAAAGGTAGAGAAGTAGGATAAAATCACAATTGGTATTCATGCCATTTATGCTTAAATGTAACTAAAATTAAACATAATCAACAGGATTATTCCCTTTAATAATTTTCCCTTCTCACATATTCAATATTATAATTTTGTAGTGGCCTTCGAAAGTTTCAACTGCCTCACCAAAGGTTCAGTCTTAGTGTTCAAATTATCCCTAAAAATTAAATAGCATTTCTTTTTATTGCTTCTAAGCCAATAAACAGTTGGAAAGCAATATATAAAAGGCTTGGACTCTATCTGTCCATCTGTGCATTCTCAGGATAACCCTCCTAAACCAGAATAAAATGGGACCAAATTTGATGCAGCAAAAGAAAGGCCTAGTAATTCCAGTTCTAATTCCCTAATCTTTAATCGTCTCCTCAAAATAAGTTTTTACAGAAGAATTCAATTGGACCAGGACACTGAATGAAAGCCTAATTTCTTGTCTTGTCATCTTTCAGGGAAAAATCCTACAGATGAATACTTGGAAGGAATGATGAGTGAAGCACCTGGACCCATCAATTTCACTATGTTCCTCACTATGTTTGGGGAGAAGCTGAATGGCACAGATCCAGAAGATGTCATTCGAAATGCTTTTGCCTGCTTTGATGAGGAAGCCACAGGTATGATCAGAACAGATCCTTTCTGTAATGCAACTGGGAATTTCCTGCTAAACCATCTGTGAGAGCTTGCAGCAATAGATAGATCCAATACTATAGATTCACTTGGGTATATTATGAACCAGTTATAGTGTCTGGGGCTAGGTTTTGTGGAATTTCTTTGAGATACCCAAAACAAATCTTTTTTTTTCTTCCATAATATTAAATTAAATCAGTCTTGCCCCTAAGAGATCTTTGTATTGAAATGAATGAAAGGTGTACATTATAAGTCTAGGCTGCATGTAATTTCCTCTCATAAAAGTCTTACATGCAGCCTCAAATGTTTCTTCTAAAAGATTATTTTTAATGTGACAGGAGGAGGAATTTATTGAAGCAAATTATTTCATTTTAATTAGGTGACAGGTTTTGGGTGTCAACCATTTTAGGGAGTGTCATCTGTGGCATAATATCAAACACAATCCCCATTCTGATACAGGTTTCATATCTCTGAGAGAAACAGCACTCAAACTGCTGGAGAAAAGATTGTTTGGGCTAAATAATAGAAATCCTTTTTTCAAATAGCAATGATTTAGGACGGACACATTTCATTTCAGAAATTCACTGGAACATGAAGCTAAAACCAGTGCAGCATTCTTAATCACCTGTGCTACTCCTGCTGGCCATCTTACCAGATCTCATGGAGAGCAGCTTAGGAGGTTATTTTCTTCTAATGGACACATCTTAGTCCTCTTTTTCCTTCTTCATCTCTAATGCAGGCTTCATTCATGAAGATCACTTGCGTGAACTGCTTACCACCATGGGTGATCGTTTTACAGATGAGGAAGTAGATGAGATGTATCGAGAAGCTCCAATTGATAAGAAAGGCAACTTTAACTATCTGGAGTTCACCCGTATCCTGAAGCATGGAGCCAAAGACAAAGATGATTAAAACTAAGAGAGATTTCAATTTCCAGTTATCCTTGTTTGTCCCAGTCTTCTTGTTCCTCCTTGAGATTCTCTGATGCCCTGGGTCAAGTACAGAATGGGTTACACTCTGAAATATTTCAGAACTATTCCTATTCTTAATGAAGAATAAGCTTTTCCATGTCTGAGTCATATGGATCAATGTTGACTCACTATTAAGCCACCTGTTGATTTGATAGGTCCCTTGGAGTAAAATATTTGCAATATTCTCTTTATAAACAAATTTCCAAACATTTTTGATGTGGGAATGAGAAGAAACACTGTGAATGCATCTGATATTGTTTCATACACCACTAGCATTTGTACCTAGCATTGGTGTACTTTTTAAAATAGAAACTGTTTTCAGTTCACATACAATTGTAATGTGACTTACACTTGTAATGTGGCTTACACTCTTCAACTTTTTCACTGCCGTCACAACCCAGGGAGATAGGGCTATTCCCATTTTAAAGTTGAATTGAGGTGGGAATTGAGATATATAGTACATGTAGCCTGGACTACCCTTTCACTCTTCAGGTGTGAGAATGGAATCGGGGGACCCAGATCCTGCCTCAAACTTTTACATAATGGAACAAGTTGGCTTTTGCCTTCACTGCTTAAAATGAACCCATGAAAACATCACTGGATAACAGATTAGCTGTTATCTCACCGCCTCATGAGAATCATACCCCATGTTGTAGTAAAGATGTTTTCCTCACAAAGCACATTTGACACTCATACAAAGATTCTTTCAAATTTCTCCATTGCTCTTGACCCAGACACATAATATGTCAGCTAATGCATTGATAAAGAAACAAGTTGTTTGGTACACCAAAGCTGAAATCACATATAAATCCCACCTTGGACTCTGATACAATATAGTGTTTTTGTGGAGGTTGCCTGAAAAATAGAAGAGAAAAAAACACAAAAATAAATCACTTTTTCAAATCTGTTTTAATTTCTTTTTCCTTCTGTTTCTATTGAAATGTCTGGCTTAAATAATTCAATATTTTTATTACAAAATACAACTTCTAGAATATTACTGAAGTCCTACAATTATGCTTACTTGTTTCCAATTAATAAGAGAGATGGCTGTACAGTTGCTGTTTGATTAAAGATTTTGTGATTTGACTAACAAAAGTAAATGTGTTCCTCTACATGTTTCCTTCTTCATTATATAATGGATATTTATTATTGTGAAAAGTAACATAAAAACATTTTCCTCATCAAGGTTTCTTTTTGGCATTTCTTGATATTGTTATTAAAATGTTAAAATCAAATATAAAGAATACAATTTTCCAGAAACCCACTTATATCCCACAAACCTTTTGTATGACCCCCCCATAAACCTCCAGAAACCATCTAAAAGTTGCTACCTAAGTTTAAAAATGACAAAAGAACATTACTGAATTTATTAAGAATTATTGTTTATTTTAATTAAATATTTATATTTATTTAGTTTTTTTCCCTGATCACACATTTATGAGTAGTATGACCTTTAGCTCTCCATATAAAAAATTGTTGAGTGTGGCCCTTATTCTTAAAAAGGCTACATACCCATGTTCTAATTGTTTTATGTCTCTTAAAGGTCAAAACAGTACAACGTTTTATAATTTCTCTAAATAGTTTTTTTTTAATTTAGTTGTAGGGCTTATTTAAATTAGACTAACCAGCCAATCCTATCATATGGTTAGAAATTTAGGAACCAATCAAATACAGTAGAACTTTCTCTTAAGCAAATGCTCATATGATTCTACTTTTAAAGGTATAGTCTTCATATATTCTTCATATTTCCCTGGTCCATAATCAACTGCTACAATAAACAGATGCCAAAAGTAGCCTAATCAACAGTGAACTACCTACAAAATCTGAAGAAGACCATTATGGTCTCTCACAGAGCTTGGACCAGCTCTTCTATTAATGAGTGAGATGCTGAGACTCAGGGAAAGACTGAAAAGTACATATTGTTTGTCACTGTGTACATTCCTTAAGACTATTGCTTCCAGGTGCAATGCAATACTGCATGTTACTCATTGCCACAAGTGAAGTTAGAATTCAACATCTACATATAGGATGACTAGGTTCATTCATCTTTCATTTAGAGAGCAAAAAATATATTTAGGTTGTTTTACATGCAAGCAATATTATTATGCCAAGTAATATTTCTTGTGTAAGGAAAATGATTTAAAAAAAAAGGAATCTGTATTTAGACTGAAAGTACAGATCAGGTAAATTTGCACTTCAAGCCTCCCATGTAGTTTGAGACTGTGTTTGACTTAGCATGATTGCCAAACCCTGCCATTATGGCTTCTTCAAACCCCATAGTTAAAACCAACTAAACACAATATCTGAACCCAAGAGATTCTAACTGCTAGAAAGTGTTATTCATTGTGGTCTCCATATCACCTTTGTGGAAAATGTGGAAGACCATTGTTATTGCATAACTGTTGCTTTTTCAATAGTATATCCTGGGTAGCAAAAACATATTAACTTAGGAGTAAGCTGTCCTGAACTCATCAAACTTGTTCTTAGGAAAGAGTCCAAAGGATGCAACAATGGAATCGTATATGTACCCAAAAATAAACTCCATTAAGTTCAATGGACAGTGCATAATACATGAATTCAGTTTCTTGAATTTTCTGTTAAGAATTGAATTACAGTAATCCTCTGCTAGGATTATGGTAAATCAGTTGCCCTGACTTGGTGCCCGCAGATGTCTTGGGACTGCAACTGGCCAACATGGAGAAGGTTATCTTAAGTATTGACCTAGAATAAAGGAATAATATAGAATTCTTTATTGGCAAAGTGTGATCGGACACACAAGGAATTTGTCTCTGGTGCACAAACTCTCAGTGTACATACAAGTAACAAATGATAAATCATGATCATAATCATAAATACAATCATCATAAATCATAAAGATACAACAGTCAGTGATATACATTCTTGTCCAGCAGGATAACAACCCAGCATAGCTTACCTGATAAAACAAAGTTTTGATTCTTCATCTAATGCAGGCATGTCAAACTTGTGACGTCGCGTGACGCATCAGAGCTTTTTCGCCATTGCCGGCAATGGGGTGGGCGTGGCTCCAGTATGATGAAACCGGCCCATGGGCCGGCAGTTTGACACCCCTGATCTAGTGTTTATGTTTTACCATGTCCATCTACCTTCTCCTAGCATTCACTAAAAAGATGAGGAAAAAAACATATTATTAACAAAAGGTTGTGAGTGGAGAGTAACCTCCTTTGAAAGAAAATCAGGGGATACTTTATTATGTTAAAAACATGAAGATTAGAGTGCTGCAAATAATGTTACAGTGTATATCCTGCCTACAGGGCTACCCAGTTTTATCAGATGCTTAAAACATGGCTGACTGGGGAATTCTGGGAGTTGAAGCCCACATGTCTTAAAGATGAGAAACAATAAGCTAAAATGCAGTTAACTAGTTTTTGGCTTGCTGTGTCCCTGGGACCTTATCCAGCATATCATTATCAGAAATAGGTAAGCAATTTCATGGGAGATCCAGAGCAATAGGGAAATGGAAGTTTGCTAATTATGCCTTCACTCAGTTCCTCTGCCTTTTACAGCACAATAGCAAGCAGAAATCCAACAACTGCAATTTCCTCCTCTATCTCCAAAGGTGTAACAATATACCTGTGGAATAATTTCAGAGTGATATGCAGCTGTAACAAAGAAATGGGTGGGCAAAATATAAATTGGGATCTGCTGGTAGATCTTTTTGAAAAAATTCTAATCCATTAACTAGGATTTCTGATCTTGAGCTACATACCAATAGCAGAATCCCTCCACCTTCCCCAGAAAAGAAGAAAGATAAAATCTAAGGGCTTAGGATCTTTTTCTGTGACTTAGTTTTGTTACTAAAATAAACATATTTCTAAGCCAAGCATTTGCTCTACAGGCCAGTTGGGTTCAAACATCGTTTGTGATTTGTAAATATGGATTAAGTAGTTGTTGTTTATACACTAGTTAAAGTTAACCACAGTTTTAAGGGCCAAACTTCTTCCTTAACTCTAAGCATATATATCCTTTGTTGAGGATCTTAAAGAGTTTTAGTTAACAATCCTCAAAGCTATATTATTCATTGATTAAACCATATGGCTAGGTCCTCACCAACTACTAGAGAGAAATTAGCAAATCACATTTTGGCTTGATGGATCCAGAAAACCCAGCTGCTCAGGGAATCCCAGAAGTCTGATCAGAAGCCTCTTTAAGAAAGCCTGAGGCTGATCCTAGGATTATTCTCTTGGAGAACCTTAGCATGGAATGAGAGTTCTTCCTTTGAAGATGACATTCTCTTCACTGATTTGTTTATCAAGGACCCCTGGGGGGACAATAGGTTGTGCCCAAGACTGCTGATTCATCTGCCTGTAGTGAATGGAGAGAGGATTCTTTTGTCTTTTTGAGCTGATATATTGGGTATGTAAGGAAACTAGGACTTCTCCTTAAAGTCCTCATTGGATTAAGTTGGATTTTTACCTTGTTTCAGAGCTGTTGTGCTATTTGGCTCAGTTTAAAAATCCAATATATTTATCATAATGTACCATAATGATAACCCTGTGTCCCGGTGGAGGCTCAGCTGCTATCTAGAATAAAAACTGAACACAGCTGATGGCAAGAGAAAGGGATACATCCAAGGATTCTTCCCTTTCAGAAATTTACAGGAACATACCTGGATTTACCTCAGAGTTCGTTGCAATTTGCTGACCGTGAATGGGGAGACTGCAGCAATATCGGAATATCTGAAAATCAAGGCAAGTGACAATATTTTCAAACTTTTTTTCTTTTGAAACTTTGAAATTTACATTGGCACATCTGATGGGAAATGAAGGATTAATTATAGAGAAATGCAGCAATTGGATTCTGTTTCTAAACCTAAAAGGGGTATGTGTGGAGTAAAGATTTCTGATCTGAAGTTATTTGCAAAAATGTTTTATCTTTCTTAAACTACCATAGGTATGAAAGTGCAGAACTTTGCAATCTGATGCTTTGTGTGTATTCTGTTTATGTAATGATATTTAAGTTTCAATATTATAAGCACATCATTTGATATCTGGTTGAATACAAGTTTGAAATTTCAGAAATTCAAAAAATCAACTTAAAATCACCTATAACTGTCAGATTCTAAGCACATGATATTGAAATAACATGCTCAAGGAGAAAATCTATATAGTTACTTAGAGTAGAGTTCTTCTCTGAGACAGATGGTCAGTTGAAAAATGTGAAAAATAAATAAGTAAAATGAAGATACATAATTGGTCACTGCAAATGAAGAAATAATAAAAGAAACACTGCAGAGTTTTGTGTGGATGAATTGGCTTTTGCCTAAGTTCAGTTCAGAGCTTCCCAAATTTGATAATTTGCTAAAAGAAGTTGTAGCAGCTGAAGTAAGCTGTAAATGCACTTAAAACCTCTTATGCAAAGTTTAACAAAAGAGTTAATCTTCAAACCCTCTGTCCTGAAGCAGGTGATGGGATTAACACACAATACTGAATTTGAAGCTAATTGAATTTAAGTGAGTCTGTGTAGAGCAGGGGTTCTCAACCTTGGCAACTTTAAGACTTGTGGACTTCAACTCCCAGAATTCCTCAGCCAGAGCTGGCTGAGGAATTCTGGGAGTTGAAGTCTACAAGTCTTAAAGTTGCCAAGGTTGAGAACCCCTGGTGTAGAGCAACATATTGAAACATTTTTAAATTACCATTGGGGGAAAAGACATAGTGTTTGGATGATTCTTATGGAAGTTCATGTTGGAATTCTCAGATTGTGTAAGGACAAGTTCCAAATTATGTCATTTGTAACACCTTGCTCACTTTATTATCTTAACCCCATAGCAGCAACTATTTTGAGCCTTACAACTGTGGGACTGAAGCTCCTAAAATTCCCACTTAGCCATGGACTTCAGTACCTTCGGTAGAACTGAGATTTAGTTTTTTGAATTTCACTAACACTAGTCTATATACCGGTTATCTCAGCATCATTATTTCAATCAGCGGGCGAAATAGACAAACAAATTAAACAACAAATGTCCACAAATATATCCATCCTCAACTTAATGTCCTGAACTACTACTCCCATTATCCAGCTGGGTATGTGTACATTTTAGCCCAACAGTTCTTCAGATCACCAGATTGTTAGGCATGCAGACATCAGTTCTTGGTCATCATGTAATTCATTTAACTTTGGCTGTCATATAATTTCATTTGGG